ACAATATTATCATGTAATCAAGTTAAAGAGGTTTCAAATTGCACGATAATACGGTTAACCTTGACATCATATTCAATTTAAAGCAGATTAGCCCGATGCACAGTGAGCCAGCGTTCAAGGTTTTGTGGCCAAAATTAATATTTCGATAAAATTTGTTTCAAAATTTGGGGGTTTTTATGTGCAGGTAAATTGAATTCATAGTTGAAGTTTTGAAATACACTAAAAATACAAGGGAAAAAAAACAAAATGGCTGCTGAAATAGGGCGAGCAGAAATTTAAAAAAAATATAGTACGCTTAAATAATTAAATATAGCAATGAAAATATAATAATTTTCGTAATTTTATATTAAAAATGAAAAGCAAATTATATTTCCGAAGTAATATCACAAAATAACGCTAATTAATTACAAAATAACGCGAAAACATGAGAAAACACATAATTTTTGTTTTTTGATATATTTAGTCCACCTTTGCAATATGGGCAAAATGGGGCAGGTTTTTTCGAAAGAAGAAGCATCAAAGAAGACAACAACAAAAAAGTTTAGCTAATTACCTCGTGGAACTTTTTGGAGATAAGTTTCGAAAGTGAGTCAAATATTGTAAAATGTCAAATGATAAGATATAAACTATAAGTTTGTCAAGAGTATTAACAAATCCAACAAATTGAAAAATTGTACTATAATTTCAGTTTAAATACTGTGATAAAAATGTAACAGTAAGGTGAAATTCCTATATATATTTCTGAAATATGAATTTAAAAGTTACATTGAAAGAATTTATTTTAAACATATTTTTCACTACATTTTACTCTCGTCGGTCCAAAAAGTAAATTATAATGTTTGAAATGATTATGAATACTTAATTTGGGCGATATTGAAACTGTCTACGCATATTTTAGTTGAAAATTTAATTTTGACTTTTGGCCAAAAATCATGGTCTTCTGGCCCACTGTGCGATGATATGATTCAAGGTTCTCTGAAGCTGTAATTTGCAAAAGTATCCAACGGATATTACAACTTAATTTTAAATTTTTTAAACATAATTTCTCTAGTTTTTCAACTTATAAGTTAAAAACCTATACTTTATTGCTATAGCAGATTGTTATTTCACTATTTCCAATTTTTAAAACACTGTAATAACTATAAAATGTTATGTAGCATGAATAAGAGCAATGAAAACAAATTTATATAGATATCATGCTTATTTTTAAAAAAGAAAAAGTAGAATATAGTGATAAAAACCAAATCTCTGAAAACTATTTCCAAGTGATGCATTTCGGCATCCAAATATATGGGACATTTTTACCTATAAAGAAACCTTATATGTTTCCGCCATACATATGTGGTTCTAGAAATATATTTGAGTGAAATGCAAACCATGCCGCCTGCCGAAATATTCGGAATTTTATTCCGAGAAAAAAGTATTATCTTTTTCAGTTTCTGCAATCCATTTTTCAACATTTTATGTAGAGTTCGTGTTACGTAGCCACAAGACGAAAACAACAAAATAAAAGATAGAAAAGTAAGTTTTTTTTAAACCATATGGATTTGTTAGAATTCCGTATCTTTCTGAGCAAAACTCTGCATGAAAAATTCAGACAGAAAAAGTAAAAGAAATATAAAGCATCAAATTACTGCGAAACTATTTTATAAAATAAATTGGATATGTAACTGGATTTTTTTCTGTGTACTGTATTCAGAACTGTGTTCAAAATCTTCAATATTTTGATTCTGGAAATGTTTAAATAAGAAAATTGTTTCCAAAAGTTTCTCTTATTTCTAATGAACGATTATTTTAAAATCCAATTGTAGATCCGTGCAAAACCCACAACCATAATAAGATATTTTAATTATTATGGTTTATCTTTGATTTCTATCTGTTATAATTTATCTTAACCCCTTAACGATCGGTTAATTTTCAAGAAAACTGTGATAAAAGTGTCTATTTTGCCAAATACACGTATTTGATTAGTGCTAGTGCCTAGTTTAAAATAAACTAACTACTTACAATTACCTTAAAAATATCCTGGTACTGCTATATGGTGTGTAAAATGAGAAATAAAATGTTTTCCTGGCAAAAGAAATGAAATAGTTTTATTCCTATTGGAGCATTACTACTTAACACTCCAGCCCGTCAATATCACGGGAGCGAGAAGGAATATTTCGTAGATATAAATTAATACATTGAAATTTAACAAAGTGAAATTTCCCTTAAATCTCCCAATTATGCTTATTATAAAGAAACTGTCATAAAAATTTAAAATAAATCATATTCTAAGTTTCATTATTTCTGTTAATCATTTTAACTGAATATTTGATTGATCAAGAAACATTAAAATGGTATAAATCTTCTTTCTTCAAGTATGCTATTTAATTACTGTAGACAATATTTTAAGTTACGGAAACCAACACAAACACGTACTTTCTCTGAACAAACATCTTTTTCTCTACGTTTTCGGATTTCTGACCCCCGAAACATAGGGATTAGCCATAATCTGGGAAAAATGCACCAAATAGTTTGGTCAAAATAATTAAATTAGAACTTGGTTTCAAAAATTTCTAAGTGAATCGAAAAATATTTGCACACAATTATGAAACTAATTTATTCAAAGATAATTACATTTGAAGTATAACTACTGGTTATAAGTATTTATGATTTTCATTATATTAATAGTAAAAAATTAAATTCTAAGATATACAAAGTTTTACATCATTTTAGCGAATGTAATTTTACATGGCAAAGTACAAAGTTTGAGCGAAATCTGTTGAATAATTCCTGAGAAATTGAATTTTAAAAAAAATCGTATTTTAAAGATTCAATATCTCAGGAACTATTCGGCCGATTTTGCTCAAATTTTGTATTTCATAATGTATAATTAATTTTCTTAAGTTATTTATAAACTTACATAGCTTACAGTTAAAACTTTCTCGACCATTATTAAATAAAGGAATAAAATAAATAATTATTATTTACTTAAAACTAATTTTTCAAAGAATTATTTCTGGGTAAACGAATTTTATAATTGTATGCAAATTTTTCAATTTTCTTAAAAAATTCTCGAATTATGGTGAAATGCACTATAAGTGTGATTAACGCTAAGGGGTCCAAATTTTGGATAGTTCTCCTCTCCAAACTATTGGAACCATATTTCCCACGTTGCGGCTACCCCCAATACATTGGGGGCCAAAAATCAGAATCCGCCAAATGAAAGGTAGGTTTATTCTGAGAAAGAACGTTTTCGTGTCTGATTAAAATATCAGTCACACTTAATTAGTGCGGCCGATACTTTAAGTTACGATATTTAAGACCATTCCTTCCAACCTTTAAGATTGAGTCCTAGAACATGAAGAACCAATGTTTAGATCAAAAGTTATTCACACTGGTTCATTTTTTTTCCACTTTACGTAGCACTACACTTAAAGATAAAATTCGTTAATATTTTTCAAATAATCTAACATGAAATCTTAACAGAACAGTAAACCAATTTATTTAACATTCCATACATTGATAAGCACTTTCATTCTTGTGTGAGCTCAACTTAATTTGATAGCTTTGCGAATATTTTTTAACCAATTAAGACTTTGTGAAATTCTTAAAATTTTAATATTCCTGTCCACAGGAATATAGAGATTATGAGTTATATTTATTCATTATATTTATTATAGTATATAGTTATATTTATTATACTATTATAGTTATATTTAATCTACTATTATAGTTATATTTATTATACTATTATAGTTATATTTATTGTACTATTATAGTTATATTTATTTATACTGTAAGTTTCGACAAAATTTACATTAGCCACTTGTTTAAGGGTTTCCTGAACAACTCATAGAAGAAACGCTTCCTCTAACAATACAAACGTGTCTAGGGCAATTAAGGTCATAATATACTAGGTCTAGGTCATAATATACTTATGTTATAAAAGAATGTTTACAATTTTTTAAAAAATATTATAAATAACGTGGTAGAATAGCGAAATCAATTTTTCAATATTTTCGTTAAATCAGAGACTACAATTTTTCAATATTTCCATAAAATCATTCTATTAAGGGGCAATTATTGACGTGTCCCCTCCTACTATCCTAGTTTGGCTCTGGGGTAACAAAATTCAGTTTTGCGGGAAAAAATGGTGGCTCTTTTAATTCCACACACAAAAAAAGCAATGAATTCAAAGATATGGAATAAAAATTAAATTAAATTATAGTCAATGAATTAAGCTATCAATAAAGTAAACCAACAATAAATCAGACAACAATAAACCATCAATAAAGTAAACCAACAGTGTATGTAAACAGTTGTTTTAAAAATACGAGTTCGGTAATTAAAGTTGTGCAACGTGTAAATTAAAGATGAAATTCATTTCAATATAAGTTAAAGCTAATAAACATATCTTTAGAACGCATACAGTATTTAAATATTTGATCTAAAACTTCATTAGAATAAGGAATTTGTGACTTGAAAAACAACTAACTCAGAACAGTGTCGATAAATTCAGCGTCCAAATTTTACCCAGAAAAAGTGGTCTAAGTTACCTAACGGTACATGGTAAAGAAAAACTGTTAAATTTAAGGAAAAAAACTCAGCTGGTGTGCCAGTATAGAACTGTTTATTTCAGCAAATAAGTACTGTTATTTTAACAAGCAAACTCCGTTGCTTTATTTAACAAAATTCTATTATTTTAACAAAAAAAATTCATAAAATAACTCTGTCAGCATTGCCCTTTTTGGTATTCCCTAAATATAAAAATTTATACATTTAATATTATCTTAGATAGAGCAATAACATTCTCCAACGATTTTTCCAAGTGATGTACTCCTCGTTTTCTCTTTAATGTGAAGCAAAATTAAAATTATATTCACTTTTTATGTCCTGTTAGAAGTATTTAAAAAAAATTATTTCTCATAATTGCATTTTCTAAATTAACTTAAAGTATTTAATTTAATATTTTTAATGTCTCAAATGCAAATTAAAATCCATTCTCTACTTTTTAGGGTGAAGCAGCCTAATATTGCAATCTTTTAACAAGATCCATGTTTTTTTTAACAAATATTGAGAAGCTAATCATTCTGTCAGGATGTACAATGCTTCTAATAATAGTTATTTTGATAACAGCCTGTGTTGTATGTCCAAAGTGTTACATCAACAAAAAGATTACACAAAAACGAAAAAAGGGTACGTATTAAAAATTAGTTACTTCGAATAATTATTCATTTAAAATAATTTTAAAAAAACGTAAAGAAAGTTTGTTTACATCATGTAGAAATATGGCTTAAGGCACTGAGCTGACATTGTAAAGGACCGGAGTTCGGTCCTTGGATGTGGCTTTAAGCCCGACTAACTCCAGATCGATTGGCACCAGTTTGTCTGGAAAGTAAAAGTGGCTAGTATGCAATGATAGCTCCAGAATGCCACTTTTTTTGAAGCTGTGGAACTTCAACCTTCGAAACTCCTTAGCCGACAAAATATTATTGCAGCAGTGTTTCATATGAAAATCAGAATACACAATTTCGGTATTTTGAAATTGGTTTTAACTGCAATGAGATTGTTGATTTAAAATTTTTAACACTTTCTTCAGTGGTTTCTATTTTTGAATATTAACCTTAATTTATTTTTGAAATATGCGAATTGCACAACCCTGTAATTATGCTTGGTTTCTGTTGGTAAGATTTTCGTACATTTGTTCAGTACATATACTATATGTTGATTCAAATATATAACAAATTCAGTCTATCGGTTTTGCTTGTAGATATTCTCATAGCTTAAAACTTTCTGTACCGCTATTTACTTTCAAGCATACTGTCACTAAAGTTTAATTTTTGACAAAACTGAGTTCAAGAAAATTAAAAAAAAATAGACAAGGCTAATATGTACGTTTAAAGATGTAGAGCTTGAAACGCGAATGTAATAAAATTTACATAAAATGCGCATTTGAAAAAATGGACTAAATGCGCATTTGAAAAAATAGACATAGCACAAAAATTCGTGCTTGAAAAATTGACATAGATCCGCTGTGCTTACAGAAACTAAGAGGACATTCACATTGATTTAGTATGCGCTTCAAAAATAATGCAGATGCTAACAATTTTGTTCATTGCTGATTGGAAAGACGCGTTTTGTGCTATATATACTCGTGCTATATATATACTATATTTCAGTAACTCACATTTTAAGCTATGTTCATTTCCTTCAACGTGTTGTTTAAGCCATGGGCATTTCCTCAAACGCGCTGCTAAAACTAAATTCATTTCCTCAGCCAAGCTCTTCAAGCTATGCCCATTTCCTCAAACGCGCTGCCTAAGCTATGCCCATATGCTCAAGCACGTTTTTTAAGCCTATGTCTATTTTTAAACACGAATATTTCATCATCTTAAACGAGCATGATGTTTTCAAATGCCGATTATACGTAACGCCTATTTTTCTAAAATTTCCAATTTAATCTATGCCTAAGATAAAAAAGAATTTACCGGCAATATACACATTAGACTAATATACTAACATTTGTAATGTTCATTCTGTACACGTACGTACGTATTTGTGGTACGTACAAATTGTATCACATGCGTAAGTATCTGCTGCTCAAAATTAAATGGTGGCTATATTTCTGCCTAAACGACCCATAACTGTGATAAAACGCTCGTATTCCATGTTTGTACAGATATCACTATCTTGATATACATAAAAAATCAGTTTTTCAATTATTATTTTTTTATCAAGCATCGCTAACACTTCTTTTTACTCTAAAAAACAGCTTTTATAAGTCGATGAAATCCGTTTTTTTACGGCGGTGAGTAGAATTATTGTCATTATTTGACGTCGCAAATTGTACTACCAGTAAAGATTCAATTTACTTCCTCTACCTCATTTATTTTCATTATTTTTATTTTAAAATGAATTCTTTATTTATTGCAAAATATAAAGGTACAGAAATGAATAGAAATTTTAACGGATGTCACAAAAAAGTAATTACTCAAGTCAAAGTTCAGGAAGTACATATTATCTATGACATATTATTCAATGCAATAATTTATTCTTAAATAACGTGCAGATGTTAACGAATAAACTCAACTTGAGAATAATAATAAATGGATATTCTTTTTACTTGGAATGATTTTAAATCTCTTCTGATCAAAATTATTAGATTATTTCGGGAAATAGATGTTATCTAAATACAATCAATTCTCATCTAAAACTATTTTATCGATTTAATGAATTTACAGACAAATGATATCCATTGATAAATAAATGCTTGATATCATAGCATCTATATTTATTAGGTTTTCTATGACATTTATTTTTATTAAGTTTTTTATTACATTTATTGGATTTTCAACATTAGTTCACAAATTAAATTTGATCCAAAACTACAAGAATGATACGATTTGTTTTTATCAGCATTTTTGAAAAACAATTTCATTTGCTTTTTTACAGATGTGCCCTTTTTAAAAACACGAATTTATCACCAAAAACAAAAGTTATGATATCTAGTGATTTTCTAGTATTAAAAAAAATTCTAATTTTTAAAGGTTGCAAATCAAATTCAGCTCCACCTTCCATTGGATAGCTATTAGTTTTCACAGTAATTTTGAGAAGGTGCTTTTTATATAAATATAGAGTTTGAGACTGTTTTCAAAGTTAAATTTTTGCACCAAACTGTTCCTTCGAATTGTTTCCAGACATGCTTCTAGAATCTTTACATTCACATTCACTACACATAAGAATTTATTTGCACAATTCAAAAAAACTTATTATCTACACGGAAATTTTAGTATTTTTCACAAAACACGGTTCTAGGCAATTTAAAAATGTACTGGCTTATTATTAAATATCCCTCGAGTGTTGTAAAGCTTATTTAAAAAAGGCTGAACACATTCAAACTTATCTTTTTAACACATGGTTTTTAAGTTTTCAACTAACAAAACACCATTTCCCCTGAATCTTTGCATTTGTTAAGCGTATTTTCAAACTTACGTTTACAATCTTGAAAGATATAATAAATGCTTTTTGAAAAACACCAGTCTTCAAAACATTTGTTTTATATCAGATTCTATATGGATTATTCTAATTACCCATTCAATCGTTTAAACAGACATGCAAAAAAATCATACATATAGGTTATCAGACAGTAACGATTATGTAACCGCCTGGAGTACATTTTAAGAAGGTAAAACCATGTGTTAAATCAGGAATCTCTGAGTACAGTGAAATAAATGTTTAACAACCCTGTAGAAATGAGTAGAGAAGTTTATTTATTTATTTTTTTATAACCGTAGTTGAACAGCCAACCCAATTTTTGGGTTTACGACTACTAATGTTCAACTCCGTAGCCTTGTAATTTTGAACCCACTTCAGAAGACAAGGGAACTCCTGGATCAGTATTGAGAGAAATTTTTCCTTCGTGGAGGACTTTTTGTTGGAACTAACCCGCATTTGCGTTACATCGAGAGGAAGATCATGACCTCCCACGGTTAGCCTGACGGCAAGTGGACTCTAACCCATGATCCGTCCACTACTGAGGATATTTCACATCAGCTCTGTGGTCGGTGTTAGCCGGATGCGGAATTTGTATAGACTGGGATTCGAACCAAGTTCGCCTCATTGGAAGGAGAACGCTCTATCCCCTGAGTCATCGTGGCTCAAATTATTTTTGAGAAAAGTTTATTTGAGAGATTTTGCATTTTCACGAAACATCCCTCAAGTTCACGTGCGTGAGTTCTATGAAGCAAAGTTGCAACGTAACAACCTTGATGCTCTATAGAGCTTGCGCATATTCTACGTGCATTAATGGGAAGAATGCTAAGTCGAAATTTAAAATCTCCTTATTTGAGATATTTCGCAAGCCGTTGAGTTTTCTTTTGATGTTAACGATTTTTGATTACAACGCATACGCGAAAATTTCCCTACAAATTGCAGTATCTCTAAATGGTAGAAAATAAAACTAGTATAACGATTAACATAGGACACACTCAATGCAAAATCTGTCCAAATTAAATGCGCGGCTATGTTTTTGTCCAGTTGCAGAGCATAAATAAAATAAAGAGCACATATTCCAGATTTCTGCATATTCCACTAAAGGAATATGCATCTCTGAAACTCTGAATATAAGCGATAATGGGGTAAAACCGGGTAGTGGAATTAAACCAGGTACTTCGATTCTCGCGAAATTAGTTCTGCTTCTTATTAAATACACTTTGAATTGCATTCCACTAGGTATGAAGGCATTGCCATATTAGCGATTTGCTGCTGTTGAAATTATTGGCGTCTGGATTGATAAGTTGGTTTTTCTCTATCATTTCTCTAATGTTTTTTTTATTTTCAAACTATCCTTATTTATTAATCATTACACTTATAAAAAATCTTTTTAGCCCAGCTTATAATGTGTTTACAAAGCATTCATTCTCGAAAAAACAATAAGAAATTAGTCTAGTAGTAGCATTATTAGTCTAGTAGTAGCACGTTCCAATAAATTTTATTCTGGGGATAAGACCTGACGTTGGGGTATGACCAAATGTTGTTGTTTTTGTCGTTGGCCATTTAAGGCAAGGGGTGCGATTGTCCTTGTTTTCCAGTGGCACCATCTATGGCTAAGAATTCGACTGCTGCCACGCCCATACTTCTGTCACACCCGTTTATAGGGTGGACCCACTCATTCATCCACAGATCGTAATTTTGACCTGAACTAGATAGTGATCAATCTCCAGTTCAGTACCCTAAGAGGTGTAATTTGTTATGAGAACATGGAGGACTTTGTGACCAGACTTATTTAACGTGCTTCAGTCACCATTTACTACGCAGGGAAACTTCGGCCGGCTGGATTCGAACTTCCGTTCTCACGAGCGCTAGTCCAGCGCCCTGCCAACCAGGCTACCCCGGCCGCAGGATCGGTTACAGTCACTATATAAAGCCAATTTAAAATAAAAAGATAAAGAAAAAAGAATATTTAAAAAAAATTCCAAAGAAAGAAAAGAAAATTGCTTTATAGTGATTAGAAAATAAATCTCCACTCAAAATGAACATTGTGGCTATTATGTAAGATATTTTGTTTCGTTCCAAATAATCGCACGATGGCAGCATTCAGAGTTATTTCAGTTAGCCAATCTCAAAATATCTATTTTTAAATACTATACTCTTTTACTGCATTAAACTAATGAGATTCCATTTCAAGCTTAAGCGAA